TCAGCAACAGCAGCAGCAGCTGTAACAGCAGCAGCAGCCGCTGCTGCTGCTGCTGCTGCTGCTGCTGAACGAGTGATGAGTATTTGCTGCTGTTTATTTTAGTATATGCAGCTGCCTGTACACCCCAACACTGATGTGTCTATACACCTGAACTGTCAGCTGTATAAATTAATTTTTTATCCCCCTGTTGCTGCTGCTGCTGCTGCTGCTGTTGCTGTTGCTGCTGTTGCTGTTGCTGCTGCTGTTGCTGCTGCTGCTGGTGATGTTGTTGCTGCCGCTGCTATTGTTGTTGCTGCTCCGCTGTTGCTGCTGCTGCTGCTGCTGCTGTCACTGCTGCAGCAGCAGCTATCGTCTCAGCCTGCTCTCTCTGGGGGCCCCCAGTTGCTGCAGCAAATTTAATTTTGTATTGGGGGGCCCCTGCCTATACACCGCAATCATCTGCTTAATATATACAGCTCTGTCGATGGGGCCCCCAGGGGCCCCTAGGGCTTCCTAGGGGCCCCTGCGCTGCTACCAGGGGGGCCCCCCCGGGGGGCCCCCGGGGGCCCCCCGGGGGCCCCCAAGGACTGTCAAAGGGGGGCCCCTGGCTCAGCAGAAGTTTATATAACACAGAAGTAACAGCAACCCTTGTCTTGGTGTAGGGGCCCCCCTGCAGCAGTATGGGGGCCCCAGGGGGCCCCCAAGGGCCGGAGGGGGCCCCCTACACCAGGGGGGCCCCCCAAGGGTCTGGGTACGGGGGGGGCCCCCATGCCGGTGCAGGGTAGGGTTCGGGGGGCCCCTGTGTGTGTTTGTTGTTTTTTATATTGTGGCAGTAAACAAAAGAACTAAACCCTTCTACTGCTTATAGAGCTGCAGCGGGGGCCCCCCGCTGCTGCTCGCTGCTTCTGGGGGCCCCCAACTGTACCCTTGGGGCCCCCCGGGGGAGGTGGGGGGCCCCCCTAGGGGGGCCCCCAAAGGATGGTGTGTCGGCTGCAGCGTCTCATCGTCAATATAAAAAATAAAACCCTAAACCCTAAACCCTAAAAAGAAGAAGTAAAGGCTCGAGGTACTCCGCTGGCTGCAAGGGGGCCCCCTAGGTCAGGGGGGCCCCCCAGCAGGAGGTGGGCCCCCAGAGAGAGGGGGGGCCCCCTCGGGGGGCCCCGGTAGTAACTGGGTACAGGCAGAGGCCCGTGGGGGGCCCCCAGGGGGCCCATAGTTAAGCATGGAGGGGCCCCTGGGGGGCAGCCACTGCAGCAGCAACAAACAAGCTGCAGCAGCAGCAGCAAACGCAGCAGCAACAGGATCAACTGCATCAGGTGCAGCAGCACGAGAAGCAGCAGCGGCAACAACAACAGCAGCAACAGCAGCAGCAGCAGCAGCAGCA